GAGATGCCATTCAAGTTTTCCTAAAAGAGGCTGCAAAGATGGATCCCCTTGCTCTAAGTCATGCACTGGAACTGAAGCTCCAATCTCCCATGTGGCAGGTATGTTGGTTATGTTGATGTTTCTGTGGAAGTATAATTTGGCATATGCATAGTCATGACAATCGCACAAATAAAAACTTGCAATTGGACAATTCCTTTCCTAAACTTCAATTTTTTTTATTTTTCCCCTTTTTAACTGCATGTAGTTTGGGATCACAATAAAGTTCTTCTTTGCACATTTCTTTTCTGGCTGAGGAACTAATTCTAAATATGAATGTTTTACGCACATATCTCAATGTAAACATCTATGCCCTTTTTCCATGTATTACAAATACGTGCATGCTTCAGTACACAGGCAAGTGAAAGCATTGATTTGTTGGTTATCAGTTTTGTTGGCATTTAAATGTATGCCAAAGCTACTTTATACATAGACAAGACCGATTGATAGATGTAGCTCTTAGCTTCTATGGGAATGGTATTTCAGGTTCGTATGAAGGCTGTCTGTGTACTTGAATCCATACTTAGGAAAAAAGATGATGATCATTTTTCACCTGTGACATCTTACTTCACTGAAAATAAAGATGTGGTAGTAAGATGTTCAGAATCTGCTCAAGCTTCTTTGAGGGAGAAGGCTAACAAGGTAACATAACTGCATGTTCTTACTCATTTCCAGAGTTTAATGTTATGTTGATCTAAATTCTTAATTGCATTCATTTATACTAGGCATCTTTTTCTGAATGTGTAAAATTTATAACCAGGACCGGTAATTTGTAATTAGAAGTACAGAAATCTGTGCAATAGGCCTGGCTGAAAATCCTATAGTTAGATTGATTCATCATTACATTCTACCAGAAAAGATGTTAATATATGCAACTAAGAAACACAAGACGTGTGCCATCAAAACAGACAAAGTGATGCAGCATGACGCAATACACATACACTTACACGTGCATGTACACACAGACCCGTATATAAACAACACATTTAAACGTGTCTTGAAAGAATCTAAAGGATTAATTTCATTAGCCCAGAAAGTTCTGTTCAAATATGTCAATGTGTTGTATTGACTACTGAGTATTGATTTATTTCTTTCTCCTTATATCTGCTATTGCCAAAAAAGTTCCTTCTTTGTGTAATTACTCTCAGACTCTGAGTGTTTGACCATTTATATGCCATTTATTTTTAAATCTAAAAGCATTTATGTGCTATTTTGTTATCACATCCACGTACTTTTTACACTTGAAGTTGCCTTTTATTTGGTATGTCTAATGCATTGCCAAATGCCCCACATTATTAACATGTGGCATCTAATGAGAAAAAAGACATGAATCCATGAAATTTCATTAGATTATTATTATTTACTAAATTATTCATACTGCAAAGAATCCTCAGTCTCTCGAACCTGATGTAAATCATAAAATATCTGGCAACTCTGTTTCTTGGTTTAAGTTTAGAGAAAGAAGTAATCACCCTTTAGTAAGTAGCCTAATAACGGAATTTTTGCTTGTAATGTCTGTAATTAATAAGAATAGCCTAGTAAATGACAGCTTATGAATTAAGAAGCTTTTTCTGAGTTCAATGTTAGCATTTTGCCTCTAATTTGGCACTTGACCCTTCAATGAACAGGTTCTTGGTCTCCTAGGTGTAGACCAGCCTAACAGCTCTGCCACTAATTCAGAGAACCCTCAGAAGGATGAGAGTGCTAATGTTGCTGGGATGCCTGACTTGATAGACACGGGTGATCCAAATGATTGTTACGGAAAGGATGATTCTACAAAGGGTTCTAATGATCACAATGTAGCAAATTTTACATCACCGACACCTCTAATTGATGACATATTTGGAGATTTTGGTGGCTCTGTCCAAGAGAGTGAACCTAAAAATGAAGAAGATCCCTTTGCTGATGTATCATTTCATACCAATGAGAATAAAGAACATGCAGATGATCTCTTTTCAGGAATGGTAGTTTCTGATAAACAGGTTGATAATGTGCTTGGGAATAGAAGTAAGCCTGAAACTTTCGACATTTTGTCTTCCAATTCTGATCAAGAGAATCATAAAGAGTTTGTCAGTGGTTTAATGGCTGATTTATCAATTGAAGAAAATACCTCAAGTACGAAGCAGCAATTAAATTCTGCCACAACTTTAAATAATCATGTTAGCCTCCACCACCCTGACAACGCTTTAGGTGGCATTTTGGGCTCTCAAGCAAATGGATACAATGTAAATCCCATCATTCATAGTGGTCATATTCCTTATGGTATTCAGCCTGGTCTTATGACGAACCATATGAATCAGCTGTATTCTACTCAGTCGCATAATTATGGCGCCATAGGAAACCTTTTGGCTCAGCAGCAGTTCCTGGCAACAATGGCTAATTTCCAACACGTTAATAATGTAAACATGCATGGTGCTAGTGTTGCTCAAATTGGTGGGGCCGAGGGAACAAAACCTCTGCCAGATTTATTTCAATCAAATTTTGCATCTCAAGCCCCTAGCTCAGTGATCAAAAATTCAAAGAAAGAAGAAACTAAAGCATTTGATTTTATCTCTGTAAGTAGGCGTATTTACTTATACCTTTCATTGGTGTTTAATTTAAGGATTATAATTTGCAAATGTATATTTTGAACTGTTGCTCTGGGGAATCAAAATTTTTTTTGAGTTGGGCCATTTGAATCAAATTAGTCCTCTACAGTTTGCGATTCATCTTTATAACCGAACAACTTAGTCTGGTGTTCAGAACTGTAATGTAAAAGAATAGGTGGTATCAGAAACCTTATTAGCTGATAGAAGCTCCCAGCATCTGTAATTTATCTGGTCAGGGCTGGATGACTGTTAGGATGTGCTTTTCTTTTATTGGTGAAGCAGATTGTGATTATAAGGGGAAAAATTTTTCAATCTAAGGATGAACTGGAAATTTATATTGCCATAGATACTTTGTCTGGTTTTTGGTAGTTTTTCCTGACCCTCTTGTTTCATGTTTTTAGGACCATATTGCTGCTGCTCGTGATCCAAAGAGAGTGATTTGAAACTTCAAACTCTGATTTTGGTGGCGGACGATATCAATGGCAGTGTTGGATTCGACAACATGAACCAATCATTGATATCCATGGCACAGCATTGTAACTTCCCATGGATTTGACAAATTGATATCTATGGCGTAGTGTTGGATATGAAGGAAGGCATTTTAGATGGCGTTTGAACTTGCCCATGTTGGCGACGTGAGAGTAATAAGATGAGCAAACGTCGGACTTGAAAGTTAGGCATTACAGGCTTTCTGTATAGATGAAAATGAGCATTGGAATGTTGTGTGGTATTTCAATTTTCCTGAAAATTTGTAGCTATTAGTTGAGTTCTTGCAGCTGTAATTCAGGCGCCAATAGAATTAGAACTTTTACCCCCTTTCCCATTTCATTTCTTTCTTCCCATTGAACCCTACACGGATGGTTCAAACTTCATATTATCAATGTCATACTCATTGTTTTGCCCTATGTTTCTTGGTCACGAAAGCAGTCAATATTCTGGACTTTAGTTTTGATCGTACGATCACAACGTTGATTTTCACTTGACGAGAGTTTGCTGCCACGCTGGAATTGACCATCAACAAGTCATAATCCAACACGCCTTCTACTGTTTAAAAACCATTACTTTTTGTTAAGAAAAAGTTGCAAGTGGCCAGAATCAAACGCGAATTCAAGTGCCACTAAGGGCACATCAGATGTCACTAGACCAAGAGGTGATTAAAAAACATTAGCAATATAATGAAATGTAATGTAACAAAATATAAGGTTGAGGGGCAAATTTACTCATGCAGCTTTCTGCTTGGGGCACCAGGCATTGAATTTTTGGGTGTAAAAGTACACATGAATTTCTTAAACTGGTGCAAAAATATCACAATTGTTAACTTAATTAACTTAGACTACTACTTCTGGTCCTTAATATAAGACCCTATTTGATTTTTATTTTGGTCCTAAATATAAGACCCCAATTTACTTTGTCTCTCATATTTATACATTTTTTTTCAAAGTAGCCCTTCTAATTATAAGAGTTCTAGTCAATACACTTGATTAGCAATGATATTTTAGGAAAGACAACACCTATTTATGACAAATAACTAACTCAACTTACTTTCTTAATTTCCTCAAATTAGTCAACTGGCTCTTATAATTAGGACCGGAGATAGTATTTAACAAACATGTCAACCAAGAAAATGATACAAAAATACTGTTAACTTTTCAAAATGGTATAAAAATACATATAAAGTTTTCATGACCATAGCATTTTTGCAACATTTTAAGAACATATCTTGTATTATTTTCTTGACCTATATGTTTGATAAGTGGTCAACATCTCGACCATGATATTTTTGCACCGTTTTAAAAATTTGGCATATACTTTTGTGTCCAAAAAAAGCTTATGATGTTGAGCGATCATGGCCAAATATTTCACAAATAGATTTACATTTTAACCCTACAACATAATATATTGAACAAGAATTGTTAAATTATACATCAATTACATATAATGATATTTTATGAATTACAAAAGTATTAAATAAACTTTAAAATATATTACCAATTTATCAAGTTGCAAGCACATGCTCTAAGTCTCTGACCATGATTTGTGAAACTAAGGGAGGCAAATTTTCACACTTTATTTAGATTAAATTTAATATTTTTTACAATTTTTATAATTAATTTTATTTGTTTTAAAAAAAGAAGGGAAGTATGATCCTCCTAAATTTAATCCTGCGTTACGTCCTACAAAATCTAGGCCTGCAAGCTTTGCAGTTGCACCAAACAGAGAGAGGAGTTGAAACCGAAGACAGATGTGTTGGTGGGGTCTACATGTGTTTTGGCCGTCGACATGATGTGTATTGGAGTATTTAACTATTTCTTATCTTGTTAAATATTTGTATTTGCATCACACTTTCGGTTCTCGAAGAAACCGCTCAAATTTTTGCATTTATGCATATGATGGCTTGTTATTTATCTTTTCTCTTTTCTTCTTCTTCGTTTTACGGCTTCCATGGCAGCCCATCTCACTCTGCAACTTTTTCAACTGTTCGACAACTCGTAAGCTTTCCTTCGCTTACTTCTCGCTGTCACTTCAATGTTAATGTGCTTCCCAAATTGTGTTCTAATCGGGTTCATCTTTTGCGCCATCGAGGTTATGGATTCGTTTCAAGCCCTTTCTTGCTACGTTGCGAGTATGATCGTTGAAAATGGTTGATACAGGATTTTTTTTTTCCTTGCGTATTTTTAAAGAAAATGTTAACTAAAGCAATATTTTTGGGTTCTAAGGAAAGTTATTTCCCTTTATGGGTAAATCTTCTTTTAGTTTCAAGAAAGCAAAACAAACTGATTCTAAGGCGTTATGTTCTAGGATGTTAAATTTGGTCTTTTGAGCTGCCGTTGTTATTTTCGCTGGAAAATTTAATGTTAAGCCACTCAACAAGTCTTTAAGCAAGGAATTGATGCTCAGATCGCAAACACAAGTCTAATCTGGAGTGTGAATTCTGCGTAGATACTATAAAAATTTTGAAACATACTGGTAAATCATATGTGAAGAGCTCTTTGCAGTCACTTGCTCCATGTGATGTATTTCACTAATGTATGTGATGCTTTCTTTGTTTGCGTTCGATGAATATGCAACCCATGAAATGTTCGTTCACCACCTGTTTGTTCCAACAGAAAATCCTTCGGATTAGATGTCAGAAAAAGGACACTAGAGAATGCGCTTCTGCATTCCAATCCCCATGTAACAGAGGAGAGAAATGATGGCTTTTCAGATAATAACCTCTTAAATGGGTATTGGTCTAGATGTTACACCGCCGAAAGGAAGCGTTCACTGATATCAGTATCAGCTAAAAATTCTTTTGTTAGTATTGATCAAAGTCAAAGCAAGAAGGAAAGCGATGGTACTCCTACCACAACCAGTAGCCGGGAGATGGAACTTAATCGGGTGAATTGCATTGTGTGGGTAGTGCATGAATCTTCTGGGAGCTTTTCCCAAGCAGTTGAGTCCCTTAGGCTACCTGGAAGTGGTCCAGAGCTTGCGATGGCCTGGCTTGGGAAGGATGTTCATGCATGGCATAGACATATTGCTTATCAGGTATGTGCAATAACAAATTCTTTCATTAAAAGTTATATAGTTGTATTCTTCCTGTTCCTTTTGATATTTATTAGCCCTATGAATTTGTGATTAAGATGCAATCATTTTAATGAGAAGGCTTGTGTTTTCCTTCTTGAATCTATTTATTTTGTGTTGAGTATGTTGATCAGGGTAAAAATTGTGTAGTTTGGCTTGTATTAATAGTTAGCATGCAACTCTTGATTTTCCTACATAGGTTGCGGTTTACGTTTTGATGAAAACAGCAATAGATGTGGAGATATTGCTTTCACATGATCGACAGAATGAATTCTCGCCTGTTAGAGAGATGTAAGTCTTTGGTGTTTTCTTTTGCATATTCAACAAATTGTATGTTTTTAGGAGGTGCTTTGCTTGTAAACATTAACATTGAGAGATTTGATGTGTAAAACCCAAAAATGAACCATGAGGCCCAGCAAAGTTGGCACTTAGCTGGGATCTTTAAACATCTAGTCAAGGATTCGATTCCTGGCGGTGTGTATGGAGAGAGTCTTGTGGCTAATGCTAAAGCTCCTTTGGAAAGTCTATAGTGCGAGAAAATTAATCACTGTTACAGGCAGTGAATACCTTGGACTCAACCAAAAAAACCCAAAAAAGCCTTATATTCTTAAACATCATGCTTCACTAAAAATGCCTTATAATGTTAGACAGAGGGAGCTGATAAATAGATCATTTGTATCGATAAACATTCAAATTGAAAAAACAGAAGCACTTCACTGATCTGGTGTACCATTTCTTCTCTTATTTCAGATTAACTCCTTTAAGAAATCAGATGAGAGAATACATTGAAAGGCAACTGAAAATGAGGCATCCTGATTTAGTTCAGTGGTTTAGAATCAGTGAAATTCCACGTTTGGCAGGGTATTTCATTCCTCTTCTAAAGAAGTGGTCCATGGAATATGCAGGAAGGTTTGTTGAATCATCTTTTATTTTAGCATCATATTGGACCTTGTGAACTTTTTCCTTAGTCAATATCACATTTTCAAGGAGATGATTTTATTTTCTTTCCCATCACTTTTGCCAATTGATTAGAGGGAAATATTAGCCTGACAGATTACTATTCAGCGGTGTTGCAGGAATTATTGTGGCAATAACCTGCTGCACTGCAGTGGTGAAATTGGGTTCTGGCCACATATCCTGCCCCTTACTTATCTCATCTTTCAAAGGTGTTTTAGTCGAGCTCATGGATCATTCCCTTGATCTTGCAACAGTGGACAAGTTGCACCATTTAGCAAGTGATGCGGGATTCGAACTTGATTTCTTGCATCATTTTGGGAAAAGGATTCTTCCCAGTGAGAAAATTGAGGACCTAGAGTTTTGGATTGGGTTGGCACATGAGAAACTCATGAAAGCTTTCCATGAAGAAAGCATCATATCAAACATGCAAATTCTTCAGTGCAAGGTCAACTGGCTTACATCCTCTACTATAATTTTCCGATCTACGTCTGCCAAAGTTTATTGTTTAACAGAACTGACCTCATAACTACTTCATATTGTTTATACTTTTTATTATCTTTTACAAGGATCTGTTATTTAGCTTCAAGTTTTCATTCATCATTCAAATAGTTGTTTATAAAATAGCTTTTTGTGGATTCAGCCAGATAGTCTGGCCACTCTGGGACTTTTTGCATACCTTGGGCGAAGAACAAGAATATTTTTGTCAGCAGTGGGCATTAAAGATCTTGATGACATGGTTCAGGATTTTCTCAGGTTTTATCTCTTTGTTCTCCTGTTTCATTTTAAATATTTTTAATGGTATAAAAATACTAAGAAGGACCAATATTTTTCTTGAAGTTACCTGGAATGTGGCTGCATTTTCATTTATCCTGAGTTTTCCTCCATTCCCGTGTATCAGCTTTTCGTGGAGGTTAGTTTCTGTTAGTTCTGCTGAATGCCGATGTTAACTGGCTCTTTTATGTTGATATTGAAACACTCATCCTAATCTATTTTCATATTTCAGTTGGTAACTGATGAAATTGGATGGCTTGATTTTTATGCCTCATATGCTCAAATAAACTGTCAAGAGAAAAGGTCCAAGCCTCATGCTCGCCAGGCAGAGAAAGAGATTATTTTATATGTAGTTTTTACTGTGTGCTATGATATTTTCTCTGGCTTTGCTCACTTCAATCGCTCTACTCAGCAGCCACTGGAGACAAATTTGTTATCATACTTGCTTCGTAGGTAGCTAATTTTATTGGATCAATTTGTTACCTTTTCTTGACTAGCTTAAGTTTATTTGTCTTCCTGAAAGAGTGATTTTTTTTTTTTTTTGAGTTGTATGTTATATCTTTTTCTTCACATTCCTAGTCAGGGCTTGCTGAGCATCTGTCTGCAAGAGCACAGGGCTGCTTACGTCAAATCAGGGTATATTGCTATGACCAGATTCTTTATCCTGTTATTACTTTTCCTCATTTAAACAAATTTCTTAAGAAAGAATGCAATTGAGCTTACAGTTCTGATTCTATTTTCAGTGAATCATTTGATATTGTGGACTATGCTGCCTTGAATAATGCCACACGGAGTACTGGAGGTAGGAATGGACACAAGTTATCTTTGGCCTTTGAAGCACAACAAAAATCACATGATTTAACTACAGAAGGATCTCCAAAGAGTTATTCTCAATTTAGCTCTACGCTACATAAGGTATAGTAGACTGTCATTGGTCATGACACCATGATAAAATGGGTAACTCAATATACTTGTGGTTCGGGGGAGCTATTTTTCAAACTGGAGGCATAAATTCCACTCACTTTCCTTTTCTCTGTCCTTTTTATTTTAAACTTTTTGATTTCTTTTCCTCTTCTTTAAAGGAATAAGTTTCTCATAGATATATATATTTTATTAAATTTTAGTCGTGCATATTATTAGCACATACACTTAGTTTGAGTCTGAAACTTAAAAATGGTGAGTTTCATTTTTGCAACATCCTCTGCATGGATTCTCTAATTAATTTTTTGCTGTATATAGGCTCCAATTTTAGACAAGGCAAAATGTCAGCAAGGTACCTGTGTTGAAAAGATAAAATTTCTGTATGAAAGTTTTATCAAGAGATACTGCATCAAGTTGGTTTGCAACCACTGTAAGATTATTCATCATGTTCTTTTTGTACATGGGCCAATTATTCTGAAGGTAGGGTGCTAAAACTATGGAATGATTTGTTTCTAGGATATCTGGATGGGTACTCAGTTGCTCTACACAGACATCAAGGCTGCTCTAGAGCTACTTATGAGGCAAGTACATGGCTGCAAGGTTACAAGAAGGCAGAAAAAGAAGCTAGAAAGAACCTTAACCGACATTATCACACTAGTTCCTGTTACAGTTCTGATGCTGCTTCCTGTAAGCAATAATGTGGCCCTACATCATTCTATTTCTATTCGATCTTAGTTTCTGCTTTCTCTTCTCTTTTATGGATATTAGGCCACCATTAGCTGATAGACTGGCTTCTCAAAAACTCAGGTAGGACCAAAAAAGGATTGGGAGTATGGGTATTTGGTAAATTAAGATTACTTAGGTTCATACCACATGGGGAATTTCAGTTCAGAGTTTCAATGTTCACAAATAACATTTTATTATTAAATACTTTGTTACTATAAGCCTATGATCGTTATTTGTATTCATAAACTATATTTTGAGTATGAAGAGATGGAAGTTTCGGCTCTCATAGGAAGCATCGACAGCATTTTTTGAGGTTTCGGGGGCATAGATCATAGGCTGAGACCCAATTCTGAGGATTATCTGTAGGGACTTTGATTCCTAGAAGAGGTTACTCAACTAGAGTGGTCTCAAGAGAGGGTTAACTGCCAAGCAAGACCGCCAAACTGAGGGAATTCAAACCCCTCGCACATGAGGATGCAGAGGCTGAGTCCCTTCAACTAGTCGGGATATTAAACTCCTTAGTAGTTTATGGTGGTCCCCGAATTAATTTGATTCATTCAGTTTCTGATAAAGACTCTGTATGATTGCATTTGGACTATGCTGAACCATAAAATTCTTTTGGGCGAAGCAACCAAGAGATCCTTAGTGAAATGAATACTTCTATGAAATCTTTCACCTCTTCACATTGTTTACGGTTACTTGGGCTGTTGGGCACCTACTTTCGTATCCCATATGTTTAACTTTTCAAAAATTACCTTAGCCTTCCAGAATTACTCTTATTAATGATATCTCTCTTACTATCTCTCATAAATGGGATGGGAATTAATGTTCACTATGTTCTAGAAAATGCCTTACGTTTTGAGTATCTTCTAGAATGTGATTTACATTTTGGGATGGAGGAAGTACTATATAAACCACTGTTTGACCTGAATTTCTTGCATGGGTAGATCAAATAAGAACTGATGAACTGTTTCTCGTGTACATATGAAGGTGCTGCATTTCTTCAGAACAATCTCATTGACAAGTGTACTATTCATTCATGCCAGGTGACAGCAATAGGCCATGCAGCCATGCTAGCAGCAATCAAGAAGTATATGCCATTCTTAGTAAGTTTTTGTTACATCGTACGTCATTTTCCTTTTATTAATGTTGTACACTGCTGATTGTGGTTTCTTCTATATATATGCATAGATCCCCTCTCCATATTCTTCAGAACGTTTGGATGTTATGAAACAACTAAAGCGAACTAAAGAAATGGATGATCAATCGTGGGGTAACCCTGAAGATCCATCACCAACCTCTTCTTGACTCGAAAAATTTCACTTGGTTGAGGTTCAAATGCGGTTTGGCCAATTAACCATCCTTGAAACATTAGAGTGATCTCTGAGAATTTTTCTGTAAATAGAAGTATGATATAACAAGCATTATGAGAGGTTACTGAGTGTGTTGTAACAGAAGACACGATCAGATTTGATAGCTCTTCTTTCAGTAAATGGAAAGTATGGGATTATACATATTTATTTATGTGAACTGACAATGTGTACAATTGTGATTTATTTGGACCATTTGGCTTGTCTTGTTTTCTTTCTATGAATGCACTTCAATGCCAAAAAACTAGCAATGTGCCTCTCATGACCAGTGAATCCTCAGGAAATTGTCTTAAATAATTTCCTGCGTCAGTATGCTGAGCCTCATCAGATAATAGAAAATAATATTTTATAAACAGAATTCAGAATTTAGTTGTCCTGAATATGACATGAGAATGAACTTTAAATTTTCAGCTAATTAACTCCCTTGATTGAGCTCTTATTTTTTTGGGATTTAAAAGGCTAATCACTAATTGTCTAAGGTTATAAATGTTGTTGAACTCGCGACCTATAAATGAGTTTTTGAACCCGCAACCTAAGGAGTTTTTTGAGTGAATCTTACTGTTCAGACATTGTTAGAAACTAAACATGAAACTAGGAATTCGAATTTTGATCCATCACGTTGCGAAAATTAGTTCTATTGACAGACTCAACTGCCATTGATTGAAATTTTGATCAATAGAAAAACACATACTCACCAGTTAGGACTGACCTTGTTACCTTTGTGTATTTGTGTCATTATAGCAACATGTCACTGGCATAAAGTCTCTCGAAATTTTTGCTAATTCAGTGAAGTCTCCCCAGCTAGAAATCAAATAATGCCTTTCCACTGTTAAAAAAATAATCCAAAAAATTGTCATTCTATCATTTATTTTTAATTTCTGCGCTCTTTATCGCTTCATTCTGTTTTGTCTGCTCAATCATGGCCCCGGGGGGGGGGAAATCTTTGCCGACAAAGGATATAATAATAGCAATATCCTTCAGAGTTCAGGTCTTGCTCGAGAACTTCACGAAGCTATTAGGTAAGAAAAATTGATTTTCTCACATTTCAAGTTTGTAGAAAAAATTTAAACAGAGTCGTGATATATCGTTAAGTAGAGTACTGATCAAGCTTGAAAATTAGCTAATCCATAGTTTTCAACGTTTTGAGTTTGAATAAAAAGAAGAGAAAATAAAAAAAAGACCACTGAAATAAAAAAACCATAAATAAGGAGCCACGACAACATTAGTATGGGTTTTGATAACAATAATATGGGTTTAGATAACAATTTTTGTAAACCGATCCATGTGTACAATTTTTATATTTCAGCGGTCTTTGTTGTTTGTTATTTTCCCTAAAAAGAATAGTCCTCAAGAAGATATCCTATTATTCAAAACATAAATTATTCTATTGAGGTTAGATTAATAAAATTAATATATATTTTTACTTTCGTTGCTAACAACCTAAAATTTAAATTTAAGGGGCGTGGAAGAAATTTTTTGATGTTGATTTTTCAAAGAGATTTGATTGGTAGAAGTGAAAATCATCATTTGACTACTTGATTAAAAAGACTAAATCTTTGTACCAACTTCATTGCGTAATCTATATAAAAAACACAATAACACAGAGAGGTTAAGTTTTGATGAAGTTTCAAATACTAGTTTAGTCAATTTTAATTATTAACTCGTGAGATTCTCCAAGTTCTTCATAGTAAATTCATATAGGCCAAACTTGCAATAATCACAATTAGCCAATCCATCATTTTCTTATATAATTAATATATAGCCACTAACACTAACAAATGCAATTTTTTTTAAGTAATAATCGATCTGATATGATTACTCTATAGGAAAAAAAAAGTGATTAAACGTTAATTTATATTATATCAAATGTCAGATTATATATTATTTAGCATGATGGGTTGGTGGAAGAGATGGAGGCACTTGATAATTAACATAAAGATACATTCAAAAAATTCTAGAGTTCGTTCATATTTCTCTTTAGGCATGATATGCGACCAAGTGCACTAGCCAATCATATACTGGGAAAAAAAGTGTTGACCTTATACATATACATATATATTTATATAATTAAATTATATTTGTCATTTTACTTTACTTTGATGACCACGTGGGATGGTTGGAATAAGAAAATGATAATTTATGAATGTGTGATGATGGATGCATTAGAAGAGAGAAAGAAAAATCAAAGACGACTTTGGTCCTTGGATACAATAGAGATTGTAAAATAAAATATCAATTGTAAAATGATAATTAATTAGTTCAGATTTATTTTAAAAAAAAAAAAGAAGACAATGATATTGTTATTTTCAGAATTCATATTTTGTGCCAATATTTATAGATATCGCTATTTCTAAAGCTTCTATTAGTAATATGCAAATCGTAAATTACTCTTCCGATCCTAAATATAATATCCTTATTCA